CCCTGGCCATTGACCGAGCAACCCAACGTTCCTACCAGCTCCCTCCGCAGGAATGTGTTCTTGAGGCCTTTCTCTTCCACAGCAAAGTGCATTCTTGCTGCGAGAGTCTCAGATAATAATAATAATAATTTACATTTTTAAGGCGCATTTCATGCAAGGATCCCAATGCGCCATGTATGGAAATCAGTAAATAAGACAGCGCCAGCGTAAACGACCAGAACTATGGGAGAAAAGCCCATTTCAAAAAGGTGAGTCTTCACAGCAGATTTAAATTACTCTAAAGTATCTGATTGTCTTATTAGGAGATGCAGCGCGTTCCATGGTCTCGGCGCTGCGCTGGCAAAGGTCCGATTCCCATCAGATGGGGGTTACTTTGTCTCATGGCATGACGCCAATAGTGCATTTGAAAATTATATGGGGGGGGGGGGGGGACCCATCAATCAACATGAAAAGAAAGTCATTCATGTGTGTAGCTTTCTGCAATGCTTCCCAACATGCATCTGTCCTCATAAGCCATATAAGGAGAGAACAACAATTTCACGTTTCAAGATGAACAATGAGATGATATCACGTGACGTCATCGCCACGGCCGGCATGGCGAATACTTTTAGCGCTGTGTTTTTGTTGTGTGTGTGTGTGTGTCAAGGTTTGGGCAGTTTTACCATTAATTTGGCCGCTATTCTATAGGTAAGTCTCCTGATAGCAACACAGTTTTATGCGAACATTTAGCTTACATTGGATAATCTTTACAATAATCATTCTCGGGCCTTCGTTACAGACGGAGAGAGGCTAATGCATAAACGCTTTCTACATCGGTTTGAAAGCATTAAAAAGAACGAACAGGCAACCTGTGGGCATCTATCGTGGTTCGGCGGGTGCTCATGAATCCCACACAGCACAGGGCCCAGCGGAAGCGGCCAGGACGCAGGGCACGAGGTACGAGGCGCTGCGCGTCTGATAGCCCAGTACTTATTCTCGCCGCTGGCTTTAGACTTATTCCTCACAATAAGGGGGCCATCCATCATACGTCTCCGAGCTGCCAATTATCGCTCTACTCGGAACTTGAGGGACACGAGGGGTTGTGGAAGGGAGTGCGAGGACATTGCCGAGGTGGGAAAGGGAGCCCTAAAGGAAAGGCCATTATGGGATTTCCGAGACGGTGATAGGTGCTGCTGCGGGCTGGGCAGAGTTCTGTACAATCGTGCGTGTAAAAGTGATGCGGTATAAGTATAACCCGTAAAAACAAAGTTTTTCACTCTAAATCCTTTATATGCGTGGCGGCTAGAGTCCTCTCGTCCTCTGGCTTGAGATGGCTGCCACCTATGGGTCAGATGATTGTCTGCCAGTATTAAGCAATTGGTAATTAAATATTTAATTTGTTTTCCATAAACAGTGGAAAATTTTGGAAAAAAAATTTCACGAACATTAATTGTCTCGCACAACGAGTCTGTGTGCAAAATGTCAGCTCGATTGGATCACGGGAAGTGGGTTAAAAAACGACCGAAAGATTTGCACGGTCCTAAGCAAGCAAGCAAGCGAACTTAATATAAAGGATTTTAAAAAGCAGTTGTCGGCGCGACGTGGAGATGAAATGCCGGGAAATCGTGGTGTACATGCATTGGCGAATTTTGCCACGAGGAATGGCGCCTCAAGGTCATAAATTCGAGGCTAAAGGGCACGGCACGAATTCCTCGGTGGATACCAAACGTTATGTCCTTGCGAATTTTTTTGGTAATGTTCACAGGAATAAGTGCGTCACGGCTGCCACTTTAACAATGATATAAACACCACCGCTCCTTTTAATATGAGAGCAGCATACAGGACGTTAATGAAGGTGGCGTTCATTACACAGCAGTTAGAACTTCACGGTGGAAATACTGGCAAATGTATGCGTTGTACAAATTATTAGGTGATACTGCTGCGTTGGCAGTGGCACCTGAAACATCAACTATTATATACGCTTCGTTTTTCAGGCAGTGTTATTGACAAATGCGTTGAGTTTATTTATTGATTCCATACACAGTTCACTTACGTTTGTTTTAAAGCCGAAAAGCTTCGGTGATCTTCAACAGCGCATGGCAGAAGTATTCGTGACAAACACAACCGGGGATATTTGGCAAACGGCTGGGGCTCTTCGAAAGCCCAAATGTGGCGCGTGCCGCAAATGCCGAATGGCAGAAGCGCGTGCGGAGGTGTAGAGAAGGGGCATGAAACTCGTCCGGTGACATCTTCATGTGACAAAGTGTGTGCAAAGTTCACGCTACGACGGTGCATTCACAGTTTCGCCGGCCTACCCGAAACCGCTGTCGAACACAAATTATTTTTCGCAATGTGATGATAACTTTTGTTGAACGCGCGCCCTGCGTTCGTGTGTGTCCTTTGTCGCCGTCGCATTCAACGCGCGCCATCGGTTTTGTTGTTGTTGTTTTTGTTTTAATGCCCAATGCTTTTTGGTGCAGCAGTTCGCCTCTGGGGGGGGAGGGGTGATTTGGCGACCTCATTTGAAGCACGGTCACAGATGCTCTGAGTGCTCGCAATCATTCACGCAGCGGGAATTGAACTCGCAAATTGCGGCTCACCTGTCAAACACGCCGCACATTGGGTCAGTGCTCGCAGTCGAGCAGGAACTGAAGGCGTGTGCGACTCGTCTCGTGCGCGGATGAGAGCCACGCACGCGTTCACGAGCCGACGCGTTGTCCTGAAGTCGCTGTCGTGGATTTGCAGGGTGCTGCCGATTCCGTTTGCACCGAGGAAGGTTTCTTGTCGCGTCGGCGTTTTCCCAACAGCGGTTGACAAGAACAACATAATAACCGCGACACGCCTGCTAACGGAGGCAGTTGTTTATGTCTTCATGCCGCTGGCCCTATTTTGTGTATTCTAGAAATGTGCCTGTAGACGATTTGGCAGCTTTATCGTTCACTTCGTTGAGTTATCGTTTGTGGCCAGGTCGCTTCTGAAAAAGAGCTCTGTATAGCTCAGTGGGCCTTACCTGGTAACATAAACATAAATAGTTTGAATAAGTAAAATATCTATTTTTGTTTCGGTGGCAGTTAGAGGCCAAATTTATTTATTTATACTTATGAACCGAATGGACCTTGTAAATTCCAGTAATGGAATGAGAACAAATTGTCTTCAAAATAAATATCTTTTATTAATAAACGCATGACATCCATGTAGATTTGAGTGCGTATTCGCATTCATGACTGTTGTCAATGTTACGCACTGAGGTTTTTTATTGGCTTATGTAGAAATGCGATATTTATGAAAACGTTAATTTTTTTCACACGACATACATACGTCCCCTGTCTGTCCAGGAGCAGTACCGGATTATCCCAGTAGCAAAAGTAGCTACATATGTAGTAGCTACAACACGTGTGTAGTAGCTACAACACGTGTGTAGTAGCTACAACACGTGTGTAGTAGCTACAACACGTGTGTAGTAGCTACAACACGTGTGTAGTAGCTACAACACGTGTGTAGTAGCTACAACACGTGTGTAGTAGCTACAACACGTGTGTAGTAGCTAAATATGCTACGGGCCCCTCATTTTCAAGGGCCCCGCGCTAAATACTTTCAAGCTATCAATTCCGGTTCAGTGATTCTGCACTTGCTCTATTACTGTAGTACTATACCGCCTTCAACTTTTATGAACGACTGAGTTTTAAGGTTAACGATGTGTCGTATTATCTGGCTGTATAGCAAATGCAAAAAAATACAATAACTTTACTATGCCAGTTAAACATTTGTGTTTTAATATTTATTTGTTTTTAATTTAGGGCCCCTTTATAACATATGCTACAGGCCCCACACTAGCTTAATCCGGCACTGCCCAGGAGTAGTACGGGTATTCAACATTCAATCGATCGGCACGTCGCGTGTGTTGAAGTAGATTGTGGGTACTCCCAACTCTTCGAAGACATCTGGCCAGTGTGAAAGAGTAGACCAACTAGTCTCTGTTAGACATAATACACTTTTTTTTTTCTAATTAGATTGCGTAAATATTAATGTGTCGTTAAACCCACCATCACCCGACATGGCCAATTAGTAAGGTTTGTCACGTAAACATAACGTACCAATTAGTTTAGACTTCAGCACACCGGTGTGTTGGAGAGTAAACGCACAACGTTTACAATTCGAGTCCGACGTTTCGCTGGTGATTACAACCAGCCTCGTCAGCCGATAGCCAACGAGAGAGAGCTGCTTCTAATCGATGCCCTTCTGCCAGCAGTTGCATGAGCAAACAATGGCAGGGCTTCACCTTTACAATGTGTTCACTAAAATACGTACAAACGTACGCACACACCGATATATATACAATGCATGTCATCAATTCTGGAAATTAACCCACAATTTAAGATCGCAGATAAACGCGGACGCTTGTGCCATATTTTCAGACAATATATCCACAGAGTGGGAGGGGGGAGTGGCAGATCCGACAACATCTGTCACACAGAAGACACCCAGGGGAGTCACAGTCACACACGCGCACACGCAGTCACAAAGACAAAGTTCCCCCGTATAGCCTTGAACAGACTAAAAGGGCAAGTGCTGTTAGCCAGCACCTATGAAGGCCGAAACGGCACACGAGGGGGTAGGTGGCCAACACCACGCCCGACCGCCTTTGTCTCCCCAGTGGTGATGTTTACACACCGCACCAGGTACTCGCTTGAGGCTGAGTCGACCTAGGGGAGGCCCAGGACCGGTTCAGATAATCGTCACCGGTTCGTAGCGCAGCGCGCTAATCGTCACACTACCGCTCCCCACAGTGGCACACACGGGCACGCAGCCTGGGGGTGGAGGGGTGGACACCACTGGCTGAACTCAACACGATGTGATCAGCGCGCACAGAGCAACGCGGGGAAGGGCCGTGGGCGCGCGTGATTATTTCCCGGCTGCTGGCTGAAGCCCGTCGCGGGGTGGGGAGTGGTCAGTGCCTCCGTAACAGAATTGATTCTTGTGTTCAGCGTCTCCCCCCTCTGCTGCTGCTGCTGCTGCTACCACTACCATACCCGCCGCCTCCCCATCCCCAACACCACCACCACCACCAACCCCGCTGGGTGCCACGATCAGCCCGCACGCCCGCACGCACGCTCTCATTCGCGACCGTGTGCGGCCGTGAGCTCTAACCACCTCCGTCCAGCACTTGCGCTCGCACAAGGTACGACTACGACGAGGATTGTGATGATGGTGGCGATGACGATGTGCTTCGGTGTCAGCACCGTCGTACGCCGAGTGCGAAGCTGCTCGTCCGCGGTGAACTGCGTGCGCACAATGCGACGTGTGCCCATTGATTGCGCGGTGGCGCCGATGTGATTTTGCACGGTTTCTGAATGGGTGCCTCTTTGTTAAATGCGGTATATATATATACACACACACGTAACGTTTGATGTGTAAACACGCCTGAAGACGTGTAAAGGATGCGTAAAGGTTGTGATTTGTTCGTTTGCTGAAACGTGCGTCTGTTTTACATCGCACGTTCTGTGTGCGTCCACTTGCACATTTGTTTAGTCGAAGCCAGAGACCGCTTGGGGTAGTTGGGGCACGGCGTGCTAATGCCACGGCGAAATCTGGGGAATTTGGCACGACCACGAAACTTACACCAGGCTGATCCGCAGCATGTTGCGGCGAAACAAACCTGTTTGTGTCGAGCGAACGCAAGGGACATAATAATGGATCACTCTGAGCTTGGACACATTACTAGCAACGGTGGAACATAGTCCTGTTTGCGATGTGTTATGTCACCCTCATTTTAATATGGCACCGTAGATATTTCAGCCTTTGGTTTCGCCAAATATCTACGATCAACAAAAATACAACTTTGACGTCTGTGAAAAATTACTTTATAGCTCATCAGATTTCTCCAGTATAAATGCGTAATTATGATTCTAAAATTGCTGACTCACAGCTATTAAATTCACTTGCATGTATTTTTTTTGGGCTACAGTGATATTCCGAGTAAACACACTTTGGAAGGATTAAGTCACTGCATCGAATATACAACATGAGACAATGCTACAGGGCATGAGAGTGTAAATTGATAGCATTTTCCAGACAATCTAATTTCATGGTCGGGGGAAATCAGAAGTGCATTCGCCTCTGTGTCCTGTTGCCAGGCTGACAGACCGTTCTGGTATTGTCAGAAATGGATCGATGGTATGGTATGCTGGTGGTTTACCTTACACAGACGCAATTGAACAGGGAGTTAGGCTGGCTTAGTAAACGCTTCAGCTCTTGTATTCGGCAAACACAATCATACCATGATGCAGGACAGATTAGTCTCATTGTCTCCTGTTAAGGGATAGGAGGAGTACCCAGCTCCATATGGTGCAGTCACAAACATAGATCCTCTGTAAATGTAGAGACTGTTTGGCGCAAGTGTTGTTAGTGAGCACCTATTAATGTTGGCATGCTGCACAAAGAGGTTATGTGGTGAGCATCACGCTTGGCCAATCTTTGTCTCCATAGTGCTGATGTATTTTGCCAGACTGCACCAGGTGCTCATTCAAGGCTAAATCGACCTGTGCAAGGCCCAGGACTGGTTCAGATAACCACCACTAATGTATGTATGTATGTTGAACCTCTTTCCCAACGTACGTAGCCATCCGTGCTAAGCGCAGGTGCCGGAGAAAAGACAACAAACTAAACAAAACAAGCTGTTCTAAAGAAATTAGTTTCTAATCAAAATTTAAAAGTTCAAAGCTCCAGTGGCTTCGTAATTTCGGAAGGAAGAACGTTCTAGACGGCCGCAGAAGCGAATCTGAAAGCGCGCGATGATGCAGTGACCGTCTTTGTTCGATGGCCAGCCAAAAGCCACTGGCTGCGAGGATGACCGGAGTTCACGTGAAAGACTTGGCCAGGATTTGAACTTGGATCACAGGGGTTTGTACCAGGGTGCACTAAACACTACGGATCCCACTCCCCACAATAACACGCACACAATGAACTTGTGTGATACTCTGCACGCGTGAGAGAACATACTAGCTCGCGTAGATTAATGTTTAAATATTCAGATCCCACATGGTAGCCGCACAGTCTGCATGGGTGAGTGCTGCTGAGATGAGTGCACGTTGAAGGCAGTGCGACACGCGAGGGTTTTGCTGTGACTATCCACCGTCGTTGACTACTCAAAGTGAATTTACCTACAGGAAGCTCGGTCAAGGTTCAAATACTGTACATCTTTTCACAGCAAGGAAGTGAACCGAGGTCACAGTGATTATAGTGTAGTACACTCACCGCTGTGACACTGCTCCTGTTTAAGATTTTGTTGAAATGTGGGGGGGGGGGGGACATGATAGATATGGCTTGGGGAGACCTTCATCCAGCAGTGGAGTGAACACGTCTCGCGATGATGCTTTTTGTACATAAATACATGTTCCAGTGAGTGTGCACTTGAGAACCAAACACATGCAATGTGTATCGGCAAGGCACTGACTTTTCCTTTTAATTAAAATGCATCCTCTTACAACACCAGAAATGTGCATGTCTTCATGTATTGAATCTTGAGATGCAATTGCATATTTTTAAAAAATCGGACAGCCCTCTGTCATCCACTGCTGGATGAAGGCCTCCCCTTGCCATGTTTGTCAATGGGATTGAAACGAGAAGGTACACTTTTTTATTTTAGCAGATGAGACCCATTGAGCTATTTTTTTTTCTTTCAGAAGCGACCTGGCCACAAATGATAGCTTACCGAAGTGGCTGATTGTGTGGAAATTTATAGCAGCCAAATACTATGAACGCATGTTGCTAAGTGTGAAGAAAAACACCGGAGCACCCGGAGAAAAACCCACGTGACTACGGGGAGAACATCCAAACTACAACTATACAGCAGGCATCAACTATACAGCAGGCATCAGTGTCGGGATCGACCAGGCGGGGTCGTTAAGATCTCGCCACCGTGGCGCCCCATACTTCACCTTGCTGGCCAATGCGGGTTGGTGAAGGGGTCAGGTTAGCACTCGTTCAGATATCATTTATCAGCCACTAGTCTTGGCCGAACATTTCTACGTGTTTCTACGCATTTCTTCGCGTTACCAATTTTAATTGTGTTGCGTTTGTGTTTTGATGCACCTCTGTGTTGCCAGCATAGGGTTCAAACTCATGACCTGCTTTTAAGTCCAACAATACACTGACCTATTCTCGCGATAAGATATATTGCATACAGTCTACACACACGTGGGAAGGAATGGTGGTGCATTTGTTAGCTCACTGCGCTGTGAAACCCAGCCACCTGATTTTGATTCTGGAGCACAGCTTAAAATGAGTGGCAAGCGATGTATGAACCGGTCGAATGTCCACTCCCACCAGTTTTTATTGACCGATCCGGTCAAGTATGGTCTAACAACCTCCACAAATGACACGGCATGGGGGGAGGGATGCACTCGTGTAGTGGATTGACAATGGGGCTTTAAATTATGATAAATATATGCAAACAAAAACACTCAACATCTGTACGTACCTGCTTGGTGGTTATATATGGACACGTGAAATGAACGCTGGTCCCAGGGGCATACGTGCGTGAAACAATGTGCGGTGGCGCGCGTGCGACGCCTAAAGGTTACGTTCACAGCTATCATGCGGAGGCTTCAGGGGTCTACGGAATAAGAGTCACTTGCAGGGCAATGCTTGCGTCAGTGCCACTTAAAGAGACACCAGCCGCTCGCACCACGTGGCACCGCAACGGGGATGCGCTGGGACAGAAGCCACCGAGTCGTTCCATTCCGCTTGGCCAACGCGAGAGACACCGCACAGCATTTGCATTCACATTCATGAAAAAAAACCGGTCCGCTTCTTACATGCGCGCCACTCAATTAACGGCACGTTCGTTAACATCCTTGAGTAATTCAGTTTACAAATTGACGGTGAACCATTAGTACAGTACTCTTGCGTTACAATCCACGTACGGTATTTAAAAGGTGTCGCTGTGGGCTGGACATCGAGCAAAGACGGTCATCGCATCGCGTGGCGCTTTCGGATGCGCTTCTGCGGCCGTCTGGAACGCTCTTCCAATATTAGGACGCCACTGGAGCTATGCACTTTAAAATCATCGAGATTGAAAACTCATTTTTTTTTTTGCGTGTAGTGTTTTTGTCCTTCCCCCGCACCTCCGATTAGCACGGTTGGCTACGTACTGTGCAAAATCATACGTACATACAAATAAGTGAAATGTGGTTACGAAATGAGGCGCCTCCAGTGGTCGCTCGTCCGGTCCAATTGAGAAATGTCTCTGAGTGCGTGTAAACTGATTGCCGAGGCAACGAGAAACGACTGGGAAGTCTATGAAGTGGCCACTTGCCATTCCGACCAATTTAATCAGTAGGCTGCCGATTTTGAAACTATTTCACCCACATGCCGGTTTTCTTTTTCTAAATGGAAGCAAAAAAGAAACGTTCCGTGCATGTTTGATCTTGTACATGTATTTTTAAAGCGAAAAAAAAACCTCATTTGACAGGGCACATTCTACGCTGGGGACGGTTGGACCAATGAGCACTTCATGGAAGAAAGAATGGAAGGGGAGGAAGGCCTGCCGAAGGATTGTTGGAGGAACGGGGCGTTTAATGGGAATGAAAAGGAGGGCGGAGAAGAGAGAGACATGGATTGAGAAGTTGGCAACCGGGGAGCCGCCGGTAAAGCTGAGCACCGAAAGAAGAAGACGTTTTATGAAGTGGTATGATTGGCTTTGAAATTCGAAACGAGGCTGTATAATAATCGTCAGTCAGCCGCTTAATTCCTCCGCCAATGTCAAGAATGACCGATTCTTCTCGTCCACCACTGCGATCAAACACCTCCGATAAGCACACTCGGCTACGTTGCGGTGCGAAAGATGTTCAAATGTACATACATACTATGGGAACCTCATTTGCCAGTAAAAATATGATAATTGTTTTTTTTTACCCTTCTATCTGGCAACAAAACTGACACCTTTTTACAAGGAGTCATGTTTGCATAGACCGCAATACCTGTTTGTATTATGACTGCAGGTATTGCGGTCTATGCAAACATGACTCCTTGTAAAAAGGTGTCAGTTTTGTTGCCAGATAGAAGGGTAAAAAAAACAATTATCATGTACATACATTTCCCCCTGCTTCCCCCCCCCCCCACTCATACTGTTGGATCTCCCTAACCCTAAACCTTCCCATCGCCTCGCGTCCACAGCTG